CTCCAATTGATGGGAAGAGCACATTGGTCGTATCAGTTTGGAGGGTTTGGGGAAGCGTAGGAGCCTATTGGAAGGCCAGTGGCGACTTTTGCAAGAACGCCGAGAAAGAAATCATCGTACAGGTAAAACTGCATGATGGTTCCCGAAAGAAAGACCCAAGGAAAAAGAGCAGTAAGCAGGCACCAGAAAGATATTTCTGCTTGTACAGTAGCTGTGAATTCCAACAACCTTTCGAGCATTGATGAGAGATCTTTCTTCATCCGACCATCGAATTTTCCATGATCATGAGATTGCGACGTTCGCTTGAGTGGTTGGCGATGCTCTCCTTTCTTTTAAATCCTTGTTATTATCAGATTACGGATATCTCGAAAGGCAGTCCCGTCGCAATCCTCTGGATTCAACGTGTGTCTTCTGGTATCTCGGGAGAAAAGAATAGACACCATGAAATCTTCGATGGGGCAGCTTTCTTATCGATATTTACAAAATCTTTGGGTGGCAATTATGAGAAACTGTCCACATCACAGCTGCGGCAGAGTGGAACGAAATCCTTATTGCACCACATATATAATCAGATATATCACCCGAGTCAACCCTACGGTATATCGTTCTTTCACATTGTTCACCTAGACCACCGAAGTTAACTCCTCGTAGAGCAGAGCAGCAAGTCCCCCCTACGTGCGTCGAGGTGAATTCACAGTTTCGGATCCTGACCGCGGTTGCGCAGATCGCCAACAGAAAGCCGAAGTTTTACTCCCTCGCCCCGAGAAGTAAAGGACGGAAAAAGAGGTCGAAAGGCTACTCACGCGGACAACGTCTTTCCAACTTTTGGTTTAGGCAGCTACTGATCTGCTCACTCGTTGAAGCTCTCATTGGTTCTGTGAAGTTTGTTGACGGTGGTCGCGATGTCATTCGGTAACTTTGCAATGTTTCTTCCTTCGGGTTAAGGCCTTGAAAGCTCTCGTAAGTCCAGAAGGGCCTCCGAGTTTTCACAGGGAAAGGACGACTTCGAGAGAAAGCTTTCTATTTGAAGTCCTAGTCTAGCCCTAGCCCCCTTACTGTCTGTCTGAACTTAAAGTTTACGGTGTTCCTGGCATCATCCTGAAACCGATCACATTCCTCCCGTACTCTATGATATGGAAACTATGTGTCTGCAAAGTTTTTACTTCTATTGACTTCTATCACATTATTCACAGACCGTTCATCACGACCTGTGCAGCTGGGCTTGAATTTCGTGACTTAGCTTCTTCAGTCTGCACAGCCGCCCATGCTCTTTCCCTGTCCTTGGAAAAGATAGGCAACAGTCTGGTGTGCAGAAATAATGTGCAGCAGTGTACTTGACCTGTCTTCATAGGACACGATTGGCGAAACGTTCTCAATAATTTAGCCTCTTCTGTACCATTCAAGAAGTGAACGAGATACATAGGTGTAAGATGTAAGTTACAGCTTACTATATGTTTTTCATTTTGTAGCCAAAAGTATCCGAATATACTCAAGTCATACATGGATGACTTATATATATTTCAAAGGAAAGAGTAACAAAGGGTTGATTCATCTGCATGTCTTTATAGTTGCAGACATTAGATATTGACATTCCCATTATAGTTACAGTGATAAATTGAATCAATATGATATGACATCTGGAAAAGTAAAATATGTAACAATAACATAGTATTCCCAAGCTCATTATAGAATTGCCAATAGAAGAGTCCACCAACTGCAAAGCATATGTACTGTACTCAATGTGAAGTATTTCTCATCATGCCATATCAAATATAACATCTCGAATCAAGTATGCAACTTTCATGTGTGTTGAAAACAAGATACCATCCTAGTGAATAATACATCATTAATTAATACCAAAGTTGTCATTCCCCGCTTGTAACTGATTAGCAACGATATGGACAAGCCACGGACCCTAGCCTCTTAAAACATTGGCGTACTTGAAATAAAGGGTAAAACAGATGTGACCATACATTTGCTAAAACTACTGTATTTTATGTAAGTCTATCTGAATCTGGGACTCCATCCAAGAATCAGGATGACATGATGAAACGCCGGTTGCGTCGGAGCTTGATCAATGATGTTCTTTTGGAGTACACCACTACAGACATCAAATGATAACGGTATCTTGTAACGCATTTTTTCTAATATTTTGTGCATGGTATGATATTCTTTTGAGAAATATAACAAGTAAACAAGATGTATTGTGATGGATAATAATGAGAATATGCTCAATATTTCAGAGTCCACGGTCTCCCTAAATGTAACCTATGGGAACAAGAAGCTTAACTCTGTGGGAAGAGTAGGTTGAGTTGCATGTAGGGTAATACGGATTCTGAGCTTTTGAGGAGTTTAAATGCAGGAGAAGATGAAATAGTTCTATGCAAGTAACTCCCATCGGTAGCCAAAGTTAGTCAAATAATTCTAGAGATAGTCAGGAAATCAGATACTGCTCAGTTTAACATCACTTAGTCTTTCCATTTGACCATCAGTGACAACTAGACCCGCAAATTAACACATCCAAAAACCCCCATCAACCTGAGGAGGATAGAGATAGACCCTCCGAGTTATAAAAAAGATTCGTCTGAGCTATTTCACTCTTTTCGACTATCGTCTGTCTGCAGCCTGGACAAATTTGTTGACCCACGAGGCTGCGGTTCTCAACAGAAATCATCGACAAGTTGATCTCGCACAGTAGAGAGTCGGTTGCTATTTATGCCACAAATGCTCCAAGTCGAGGCCGGCGACTCTCTAGCGACTGCGAGGAGCATTGTCAAGACGATTGGTTAATTAGTAAAATCATTCATTTGACCTCTTGTAATTCATATCAATTCATTTGACCGAAAGGTCGCATAGGGCACAAGAAGTAAAGGAGGGCAGAGCATCAGTTTCAATCAAATGTAGACAACTATGGTCCAATTTCAGTGCATGTCGTATTTGTCGTAGATTTACTGCTTTTGACCTCGAGACGCAACAAACGTTACTTTTCTAACGACATTCTGAAATTTCTACGTCTCTATGTGAAGAGGGAAATTGGAACACCGTCCAAGTCTCGCCAAACGAAGCAGCAACTGCAGCAACTGAAGTAATCATATACCAGGCAACAAATGAGCAATAACCACGTTTTCCATCTGACGGCATAAATTATTCATTTGACCACATCACAACTTTTCGGATCACGCCGTGGGCGCGTGCGTCCCCCTAGATATCCATTTATAGAGGATGGCACTTCTGAAGACAGTATGGACACGTTTCCACGTGGTGACGGATGTGCATCGTGGCTGCTGCTCCAGGGGTATGAGAATCTGCGGGTCGTATATTCGCGCTCGCCTCCTGCGGCCAGCCTGACCAAGTTCTCTGACCAGACCACGTAGGACTGGACAGGACGAACAGCGACCTATGCCCGACTTTCACCCCCGCGCTCTACAAGGACCGCGAGTAACGTCCAGTGGTGGAGCCTGGACCGCAGTAGGACGCGATCGACGAAGTTGGAGGCAACATGGTCGTCGTTTGGTGCATTGACCGAGTATCACATGCAGTCAACTATGCAGGAAAACGAGGCAGATTGGTCCCGGATTGGGGCCCAGGCGAGCCGGGCACAGTCTGGATCCCCGCAGGTCCGTCGCATGGGCTTTTTCCGCATGGAGCAGGTTGCATTTGTCCTGGGCAAGCAAGGGGAAAGATCTGCGAGCGCGAGAGTCTCAAGGGCCGATCACCGAGCACGGTTCGGTCCAACAAACATGAGCGAAAGATATTCGCGGTCAGTTTGCCGGGCCTCACCAACCTTTTGGCGGTCAACTTTGAGGCCCGGGGACGTCGAGTCCAACCATAAGGCACAAAGTATCGGCACAAGGTTTGCGGGAGATATGGCTCTACCCCGTAGCACTTGCAGTCGGGGTGCGCCTGCCCATACTCAACTTTGGGCTGCAAGTCCACCGGTTGATTGGCGTGAGCAAGGGAGGAAGGGAGATGACGATCTTCCATGATTGCAAGGCAAACGCGAGCGCAGTCAGACACAAGGCACGATTGTCAGGTACAAGGCTACAAATCTAAGGGGGGTCGGGAGCCTGGAGAATAAGAGAAGTTTAGTAGTTTTTCTCGCGCATGCTGCAAGCGAGCCTGCAGTACCTCAGGAATGGGGGGAGATATGATACACGAGATATACGAAAAGGATATAGACGCCAAACCACGCTGCGTTCGGACGATCGATAGGAACCACCAGTCACGATGGAGTCACGATGGAGTCACCGGGTGACCGGCAGTGACATGAGGGCCTGGCACGGTCTGGACTGCGACGACAAGTGTTGGGTTCAATATTTTGCGACATAGAAAATGGTGGGGCGATGTGCCTCCCCACTGTGATGATGACTGGGTAGTTGACGAGACCGGCCTGAACTGGGGTCCTGGACTGGGGCGGGAGTCCGGGGCCTGGGCTGGTGCCTTGCAAGGGAGGCTGACCACGTCAAGATGCTTGTGAGGGCAAGCTCAACTCCTCTGCAGCAGTCAGGACTGCACCTTCGATGGTGGAGAGCGAAGTCAGCCGCTGCCTTGTGCTTGCGCCCAGGTCCAAGTCCGGTGAGGTCCCTTCTCTCCACCTGACTGAGTGAGCGAAGCCGTAGCCTTGATCACCAGGTCCGGACGGTACAGCACAGTAGTGGTCGAGGACGTTGGACCCGAGGGACGGCTCGGGCCCGGCGAGGAATGTTGGGGGCCACGGTCGACGATCCCGAAAGAGCGGAGAGAACGAGAGCTCGGGTTACCTCGTGCTAGCCAAAGCATGCGAACCAAACCCAACCATGGCAGAGAAGTGTAGAGTAGAGTCTGTACCGAGTAGAGTAGCGCCGCAGAGGAGCACGGGAACAGCCGCAGCAACAGGCGTAGCTCCTCGGTCCATAATACCGTCCGCGGGTGTACTTCTTCACGGCTTTCTTTCCCGGGCGGAGGAAGAGCGAAAGGAAGAGAAGAGGAGGGGACGGGACCGGGCGGGATGTGCACTTGGGATGGGGTCGGGAAAGATAGGGCTTCGACTTGTCTTGAGAGGCTGGGGAGGCCGACAGCGGCTGACAGGTAAAGATTGCTGGATGACAAGAACACATCAGCAACGGCAATCCACACAACACATCAGCCAAACGGTATGAGCCCATGAGTAGCCGGGGCTCTCGAGCGGAACTGCGCTGGCTGACGTCCCCGCAGTAGTTCGAGCCTTTTGTTTTATTTAGTTGGAACGTACCTACTGCGTAGACTGCCTTCTGTAGACATTGAACCAGCAACTGGTCGCGCTTCATAGAGGGAATGAATGAATCTTTCGTCTAGACGGGATCGCAGGAGCCTACGGTAGCGCCAGATCGATCCAATCGGAGCGACCCGTGCCTAATCAGGCCTGCTCGTCTGTGTCGCACGCTGCTTAATCCAGATTCTTAAACCGATCGAGGAACGATTGCGCGACCAGGTCTTTCTTTTCTGTCTTTGAATAATAATATTTGTGCATTGTGCGACAGGAGCACTTCCGTAACACTCCTCCGCCTCGCGCGATGGTGCCAAATCGAGCCAAGCGTTCAGTAAACTGAAGACTGTTAGGTGCAACTCAAGAGCTCGAGGACGGGATTATGGGGAATTTCCTTCTTGCGGATTTCCTGCCCTTGCCGGGCTTGGAGGTGGGAAGTCCCACGGCCCACGGCAGTCAATGGAATCTGGAAAAAAAAACTTATCGTAACTTGCCTTGCGCATGAACAAACCATTATTCTAAACGGTGCCTTCGAATCGATAGCCAGATCGTCATACGGCTTTTTCTTTTGTGGCTTTCTGAAGAGTCCAAAAACTATCGACACGGGTCCATAGGGGGCACGCCATGCATACCTTAAGGATTTCTTTTTTGAACGGGGACTATTGTAGGCCAACTCATGGCCTCATAGGAACCGTCCCGACTTTGAATCAAGAGGCCACGAGGAGGAGACCAGGATGCAGGGAAGAATGTAGCACCAGTCCGTTCTCTACCGCAGAATGAGCGTAAGACATTTGGGTGGGCTTCGGCTTAAAATATTTTCTAGATTGAGTTCGGGTGCAATTGTATAAAGAATTGAAAGAGAAAACGAACGATGTAGGTGTCTGCCTCGCTCGCAGCACTCGAGTAGGTTAAAGTGCCAATTTTGCGTACCGCGCCTTTTCTTCTCCTGCCTCGCTCCAACAAAGTCAAGTGCGAGGGAGGGAGGGAGGGAGGGTGAGAGGTGGGGGTGGCGTCTCTCTCGCGCTCCTACCGAGTGCATGGATGGAACTTGGGGCTTACCTACAATGGACAACGCAAAGATTTATGAGGCCAGCTTTCTCGCCCCCGTTGGTGCTCATGCTGCTTAAGCGGGCATCGCAGCCAATGCATGAACAGGGTTTCGTGGCTTTATTAGGTCAAGCCTAATCCGCATGAACTTGTGGTGAAGAAAGCGCAAGCGGCATCGAACATCGCCGCTACTAATGACCAAGCCTCTAGAAAAGCCGACCTGACTCCTCGTCCGCCTCTCCTTCGGCGGTCGACGAGTCGTTAGGCGCTTTAGAGCTGCGGGTGGAGGATGTTGGAGACAAGACCACATCGCGTTAATATCCGCCACTGCAATGGAATGGCGTTTGCAGCTTTGTTCGCATGAGTACAACTGGACATCCATCATAATTCCCCCCGGATCTACCAATCGCACTCACTCGCATCGACGACAAAACCTCACCACCCTCCTCCGCTCGCTCCCCTCGCTCCCCGCCCCAGAGCCGGGTCAGAGCCCAGCCCAGCCCAGCGAGTCCACATGTAATTACGCCCGCGATAAAAACAAACGCCGCATGACTTGGATGGATTATGGTGGTGGGGCTCTGACCGACGCCCCCGATCCGAGCGAGCAAGCAATCGAGCGACCGAGCGACCGAGCAAGCGAGCGAGCCGAGCATGAATGATGCGAAGCATGAGCAGGCGGAGGAGGAGGAGGAGGAGGGGCAGGAGCAGGCGGCCGGAAGAGAGGCAGGAGCAGATTGTGCTGTGCTGGGGTCCATGGAAGAAGAAGGCGACGGAGGGACTCCAGACCGCGAACTTGGCCCAAGGCCAAGACTTACAGCCCGAGATTAGTAGCATGGAGCGAGAGAGCGAGAAAAGGTTGATGCCGGAGGTGGTTGGGTGGCGGCATTTCGACCGGTGGGTGGAGCTGGGCTGGCCTGTTTGCATGGGAGAGAGAGACAGAGAGAGAGAGAGAGAGACTTGTCCTCCCGCCGGAGCCGAGACTCCGGACAGACGGCATTCCGAGACCCGGGCCCGGGCCCGGGTCCGGCAAAGGGAACGCAGGCCAGTTCAAATATAAGTCTCAGAAGTGGCACTCTCGATCTCTCCGGACTGCGCCGCAACATCTCGACGAGAACAGCTCGCCGCTTGTGCCTAGAGCTCGGGCAGGACCACCCGCGGGACTCCTCGCATCCATTGGACTGCCGATAACAACCGGGCGCTGGGCAAAAGTGCGAGCGAGAGCGCGAGCGAGCGGCTGGTCGCTGTCGCCGAGGTTGAAAGAGAGCACAGCGGGGGAGCTCGTTCGCAGGCCGCCGACAGATCTTCACGCGTCGTTGTAGTTCGAAGGAGGAGGAGGAGGTGGACAAGGTTGGCGGACGAGGAGGAGGAGTAGTGTGGCAGCGGATTGTTTAAGATTATGCGTTTTTCCTTCCAGCGGTAGAGTGCACAATGGCGGCGATGAGTAATCCTTGCGCTCCCATGGGTGCTCGAGTGGGAGGAAGCCCATTAAGCAGCGGATGTAGTAGTAGCGCGCTGCGATTCAATGTCAAGAGTGCGAAGTCTGTTTCTTTTTCTTTCGGGGAGGTGTTGGGTTGCGATGGTGGTGCTCCCCTCAGCATCGGAATCAAGACCCGTGTGGTGCCATGGCGCACTCTCAAACTGCAAAGTCCCGCTCCTTCGAGCGACCAACACTCTTCGTCCACCGCCCTCCGATGTCTGGGCACCTTGGGTACGTTGCTTTTGATGCCTGTCGACGCGCATGCAAGGGGTGTTACCATGCCTCTCGGTCGTTGGTCGCTCCCCTTTCTGCCCTGCATTTCGATGGGTTCACCCGCATTTGAGCACCGGGCAGGGCGAGGCAATTTTGCCCATTGGGCGCCCGAGTGTGTTTCCAGTGCGTGTTGCAGAATTTCGAAATCTTTCGAAATAAGCCATGAGCCCAGCCCTTGGACGCCATTTTGCTTACCACCTGTTGATCTGCGATTTTCTCATATTCTTTGTTTTCTAGCGACAGCGGCGTCGAATGAGTTCTCATAACTCCACAATTGGTGGAGTACGCCGCGCTTTCGGTCTCTGTCCTAAGATTTGGTTTGCCGTGGGTACATAACAGTAGCGTAAGCATTGCTGTGGGAAAGCTCCGATTTCAGGAGGTGTCGGGCATCGGGTCGGTTTCTGGATTTACCCTTCCCAAGATCTGGAAAATTGCAACCGCGAACTGACAATTTCTAGCGATCAAATATCAACTCTCTAGATGCGTGTGAGACAGAGCGCAGGTCTGTCTCCCAGACATACACTTGAAGATTAGAGAGTCACTCATCTGTAAAAGAGTGATCACCGGCAATTGAATAGCCAGGGTAGGCCCCGCTGGCGACTGGAGTTCATAGTCTGATGCTGTTCTGCCGCGTTTGAATCTTCAGGCCAGAATACGCTGAAGGCTCTGGTGGATGAGGCGACAGGAACATCTACAGACGAAAAGCAGTACTCTTTAGAGTTGCAGGAAGACGAGGAGTTGCTCAAGGTATCTATTCGGAAGCCTTTTACATACTGCAACGTCGTAGGAACCCTCAAATCTTAGCAACGTTGGCAAAAGCGGAGCCCGTTGGGGACTGCTCAATGCCACGGTTTCATCTGCATTTAGAAGTGGCAGATGAGTGGATGCTTGTCGTAGGAGTGAGTGGTTAGAGTTTATTAGCCAGCCACACTCTCTCTTGAATGGAGGAGAGTGAAAGGATTCCTAGGACGCAGTGAAACCCTGTGTGAACACGAGAGTACTCATGGAATGATTATCTGACATGTATGGGCAGAAAAAAGCAGCGCTCGTTGTACAGCAATTAGCAGGCAGCTGCATTTTCCTCGTTGGTAAGTGGCAAACATCTCCTTTACTACCACATCTGTCTTGGAAGGGTCCTAGGTGTAGGCAGAGGGTCCTATCTGGTCGTACATGTATGTTGACATATCGGAATTGGATTTTGCAGGCATGATGGGTAGTGGGAAAACCACTGTAGGTAAACATGTCAGCGAGGCCCTCGGATACTACTTCTTCGACAGGTAAAGGGAGAAATCAATTTCTTGAGTATGGAAACTTTTCGATGAACACCACAACATGCTGCGTCCCCGGGTATTCGAACGGGGCTTTCTTCTTTCTACTTGATCGATTTTTAATCCATCACTTCATCTCATGATCTACCCCATTCTGCAGTGACAAACTAGTCGAAGAATCGAGGGGCAAAACCGTCGCGGAGATGTTCCGGTACGGTAGAGAGGAGGAATTTAGGAACGCCGAGTCTGAGGTCCTGGAGCAGCTATCGTCCATGGTTCGGCTTGTTGTTGCTACCGGCGGTGGCGCAGTTGTTCGGCCCGAGAATTGGTAAGTGTTTTGATACTTCAGTGGAAGTTTCTACTGTCTAAAAGGGGTTAAATAGCTGTCTCGCCTTCGATATTTTTAAGTCCAACAGCACAATTTAAGCCCGCTGTCTTTGCGCGGACGGAAAGTCGGTTGTCTCTATTGGCAGGGGATCATGTCTGCACGGTCTAGTTTCTTCATTCGAAAAAAATTCTATGTTTCACGCTGCGGGCTCATCTCGAGTAATAAGTCCGATCGGCTTCAGTACCACCGGTTAGCTCCATCTGATCACACGAAAGGCGTGGAAGGTGGCTCCTTAAGAAACAATCAGTTCGAGGGCTATTTGATGTCTCGGGATGAGTACGGAATTGTTGTAGACCGAATGATAGGTAGGCTCACTGTCTCTGTCAATTATTGTGTTGTATGTAGGAGCTATCTTAGACACGGAATAACCGTGTGGTTGGACGTGCCGGTGGATTCGTTAGCTGAAAGGGTGGTCGCAGTCGGATGCCATTCACGTCCTCTTTTGGGTGTACAGGCTCATGATTCGGCTTACAAGCAGGTCGGTCTTTTTTATTCTATGAGTATATTGTATTAGTTTTTTCCCCGTATGTGTTCATCGGGATCGTGACAGTCTTTTTCTCAGCTGATTGAGTGAGTTCAGCACAAAATTCCAGGATTTGCGTGGATGGTTATCTCAACTGACAGCGATGGTTTTTCCTTGTTCAGGCGTTGGAACGGCTGACGCACATTCTTCAAGAGAGAGCTGATTTTTATGCAAGTGCCGACGCTGTGGTGTCGGTGGAAGGTATGTGACTTGTATTGGAGTCTACACCAGCATAGCTCCGGAAATTGGCTGTTAACGAAAAGCCTGATTATAGCCTAAGTCTACCACAATTCGACAGAAAAGCAACTTTCACTCTTAGCTGAGCTACGCTTTTGTCTCCCCAGCCTGAATCTAACATGTGGAGGTCTGGTATTCTCAGAACTCGCGAGGAAACGAGGCCAGGACATCAACTCAATCACACCTACCATGATCGCGGTCCAGGTGGGGCCTCATGCTTCTTCATATCTCAGTCGAAAGTAGAATTGGCGGAAGTTCCGAAGTCTTGTCTGACGGCTGGTCGTTTGGGGGGAGTGAAAAGATCATGTCTGATTGGATGTGTTCTGTTCTCTTGTATCTCACTACGTTGAGCACTTCAATGACATGGGCTGGTTTGCAGAGCGATTGGATCGTGTGCTGTCTCTCGAAGGCACTGTAAAGAACCTATGATCCAAAGGTTATAAATCTTTCAATTTCGTTTATCTAACTGGCTGTCTCGCGTGTGATTTGCAGGTGCTGGAAGAAATCTCCAAAATGCTGGAGAGGGGGGATAGGGACCCCAGCCTACAATACTAGAACGCAGTAAACTCGTCTTTTCTGCTTCGTGTTTTTGCGAGAGAACAAGCCCATCCAGCATATCCATTCTCACATCCAGAGAGACCAGACGTCTTGTGTATTCATTGGTATTACTACCCCAAATCGGAATAACGCTCCTTCATGCAGGCCCCTTTACTTGTAAGTACCATTGAAATTTAGATAGATAGAGAGTGAGAGCCAGAGCAAGGGTATACGGGACCGGAGGCATTGCGGGAGCATGAAAGTGGTAAATTCACAAAACAGCTGTCCCTATTGAGACACATCTCAGTTCTTTGTACATACACCGTCATGGAATTTAGTCGATTTACCAATAAAGCGGAAACACGATTTTGATTTCTCATTGCTACGAATTGTCTATGACGGTGGTGCTTCCTCTGCGCCGCCTGTATCATACTGTTATCCTTTATGGTACCCTATGCGTGTCCCGCCGGAAATGGAGATTTATTAGTGCAATGCCGTTTGGAGGTTATCAGTTGTCATGCTTGAGCGATGATTTAGTGAGATGGCTTCAGTTTTCGTCAAGAGTCCAACTATTTTGGACACTGTTTGTCATTCATGAATGAAAATGTGGCATGAGAGTACCGTTCCTCAGCACGCTTTGTGAACAATGTATTCTGTCTAGCACGGAAGCAAGACTCCTTTCACATGAACCAAAGTGTCCCCTGCCTATTTCCTTCTGCCTTCATATCGATCTCTGGGCTAAATATATCCGTTCTTTGCAAGCAAGAGAGTACACCGTCGTCGTCTAGAAAGATCGAGAAGGAAAAGCCTGACAATGATACTGTAAGTGGGAAAATCGCATTCCGATGAAAGATAGAAAGCTACCGTCGGCCCAGAATCGACTACCCTTACAATCATCCGATAATTCAATTTGACACACAGTTTGCACATCCTACTACCGGGTACCAAGCGGAGGCACAGAAGGCGCACCACCGGTTTAGATGGTGGCATTCAACCGCCGTCAGCGCCGAAAAAGTACAGTACAAACAGCACGGCTGCTTGGCAATGGCGAAGCATAGCCGAGCAGTCTGGGAGTATAAGCAGCAGGCGTAAGAAATTGAGCGCGCGAATGTCCTGCAGCTTTGGCGGGGCTGGTCTTTTGACTGGTGGGCAGAGGAGAGACCGAGGATCATCGAAATCGGTAATCGTAGCTCGACTGCGGTGAGGTAGTAGCTTTGTTCTGTCCCCCTTGGAACGCCACATTCATGCATGACCATATTCTATAACATATTCCTGCTCTTTAATATTGCTGTCAACGAACTCTTCGTCGTCGGGCCTGGATAGTACTGGGTTCGATTCACAGAACCGTGTTAGATATTTTCAACGCTCGACGCTCGACACCTCCAGAGTCCCTGGATGCAGATCCGATGAGCAGCCATCTGGAAAGCCCTACGGCCCTCGGCGAGCCTGCACCTCAACCGCTGTCAAATTCCGTAAAAATACCTGAGCGAGGCGTGAGCTAAGAGCCGCACGTCGGCATCGACTTATCATTCTTTAGTCCCGAATCCCGTCTGTCTGTTATTCGGGGCATCTTCGCTTCCGCAAATCGCACGGGCGATCGAGCGAATTGTCTTTGTCCGGTAGATGTCCCCGACACGCATCATCATCACCAGCGGTAGTAGCTCGCGGGCTAATTCGAGGGATACTCAAGTTGTTCTTCTTCATTTTCAACCTCCCGTTTTAATTCCACTTTCTGACAAAGATTTCTCGTGGGCCGATCGTATCGATGCTCAACCGGCAGTTTTCAGACCATTACTTTCACAATTGTCCATTTCTTTCTTCGGTCATGTTTCTGACTGCTGGAAGCAGCCCAGCTTTGTTGGAAATCGAGGTCGACAGACGAAAAGCAAATGCAAATGCTTCTGAGAACATGACTACTCCAGCACCGAGCTTAAACCTTGTCACCCCCTTTCTACATCATGCTCATTATGGCAACCGAAAAAGAGCAAAATCGTGGTGAGAAAAACGAAGGAGCCAGAATTCTCCTCGATGCCATATTCTTCCCCCCTATGGAGCTGGCCATAGCCCGGGCTCAGCCACTGTCCCGAGACTCGGAAGTCAAGAAAAACACAGTTGGGTCCGTTTGGGTCGTCGAGATCGTCACCTTCGTCGGAAGTGGAGCTGTCATTCGGTCCGAGATTCGGTCAAACATGGCATGAAGGAAGCAAGCGAGGGACGGAGGGGGAGTTCAAGGTTTAAGATAGGAGCTGAACAAATATCATGCTTCCTGCTCGCCGCAGGACGACTTTTCTCCACATATTTCCATCGAGTAGGGCCTAAATTTGGATGCGGATGCAAAGTCAGTCCTCAATGACTCCTCATTCCAGTGCTTGTGGTCATTCTTGGACATGGACAGTATCGAGACTCCGAGTCTCGGGTGACCTTGGCTGAGCTGACTAGGGGCAGGGGTGGGGGGTGGTCCCGGATTGCTCGTGCTGATGGAATCGGTTGAAACAGCTGATCAGCTGAATTCGTCGAGGCCCTATCGTCGCCTCAGCAAGGTCCAAAGTTGCCCGCTCCATCTTGACCCATTGTGAAACCATGAGTGTTGCGTATATGCCCTGGCTCTCCTTTCCTTTCCTTCCCTTCACTTTAGTTCAGTTCAGTTCAGTTCACTGCTGTGACTGTCGTGTGTAACTTCCCACGATTCCGATCACGAGAAGGTTTGACTTGTTGCCACCTTCGTTCGTCGTCTTTTTCCCTCCCATCCCGGTTTCTAACAGAATCATCCGATGCTGCTACTCTAGATCGAATTTTTGGTCTCGGCTCCGCATCTATACTGTACGTGTACATGCGTTTCTTCTCACCAACCTCCCTCCAGAGATTTGCATCGCTGGTCAGTCAGTTCTAAGATCGCCAAAAGGATGATGGCAAGATCCCATTAAATCGTGCACGGATGCAACCAAAGGTGTAGGATGGTGCGCTAGGCCTCAATGCTGCCCCGGTCAGGTACGTCAAAAGGTTGGTGCACATTCTTCCAGAGAGCAACCACTTCCCTCTGTGCATGTGCATGCTTATGCGCTTACTCATTTCATGTTCATTTTAAGTTCATTTAGTTTTCATTTGACTTTCATTTCACTGACCTTCGGCCCGTAAGGGTCCATGAGGGTCCATGAGTGCTTTCTGTTTCGATATTCTGTTTTCTGCTCACCAATATTGCTCGTCAGTAGGTGCTCTTGCCTGGCGCTCAAATTCTACGTGGCTGAATATTGAAGTGGATTTACGAGTCCTGGAAGAATGTGAACGTTCTTGATAGCATTCATTCATCGTTTTGAAGAACATTTGATCACTAAAAGTAACAGAGCCTGGCTTGAGCCTCAGTCTGGTTCTGGGAGAAATTACGAGGCAAAAAAAAGTCAAAACATGGTAGTGCTCTCTCTCTCTCTGTGATGAGGTGGAGCAGTTCTTATCCTCTTTATTTTTTATTACGTGGGTCGAACTCGAAGAGTCGGAGATGAGATTCGATAGTTGCCTAACCCGACGGTTGGTTGTTCTCATGAGCTGCTACCGCTGTTGCTGCTGTGGCTCAGTGGCTGCCTCATGCCGCCAGCGATTCGTATTGACATGAGAGTCCGTGTCCCGCTCTCAAAAGTTCAGGCCAGTAGTGGTCGCTGGCTGCTAAACTTTCGTCATCAGCTCTCGATCTGTTCTGCACTTTGACCACTGCTCTCTTTCGCTACACTTGGGGCACGAGATCTCCATCCTGATCCTGGACAGTGATTGATCTTCCAGCACGTTTTTCGTGTTGCGCCATCGCACCACCCTAGAGCTAACAAGCTAAGCCGAGCCCTTCATCCATCCGTTCACGCTGCATCGCGCTGAAGCAAAGAATTAAACTGACATCCGATTTGGCCCGAGATACAGACAGTCAGTCAGTCAGTCCTACGGACGAAGGCAGGGCAGGGCGTGAGTGATTGAGTTGTAAACGCACGGATCGAGATGGCATTGAATAAACAGCCGAAAGCGAAGTCTTGTACCTTCAGCAGCACGTGGGCCCTCGAGCCCGATCGTACGAGCAGAAGAGAAGTTTTAAGGACAGAGGACAGAAGAAGGAAGGAAGAAAGAAAGGGCTTGTGAAAACAATGGCATGCTCCCGGAAGCGTGACACGGAGGGAAGGTGACACACAACCTCATATGTAATTACGATCAACATTCACCGACGTGGAAAATCTATCTATCCATGTGTAAAGCGAACGCTTTTCTGGACAGAAGTCCATATCTGCCCTAAGCTCATCCATCTCTCTCTCTCTTTTCTCTCCCACTCTCTCAGACTCTCTCAATCCGTATCTATCCATCTGCCTTTTCAAGCTGTCTGTATGTCTGTCACCCTTACAGGAAGACGGAGACGAGATGGTACATTGGATGGGGGGCCTTTTTTAATGATTCGATCGTCATTTCAAAACTGGTACAGTTGTTCTCATATTTCTCCCGTTCGACACAACTGACACTCGGCGGCAGAAAGAATTCTGCAATGTCTAAGCACTCCCTGCTCTAAGAGTAGCAGCACGTAAGACACAAGTATGTCAACTGTGGTAAAGCTGCAAATTTTTCTTCTCGACTTGACGTCAATCAGTGAGCCAGATGCAGGAAGACTGACACCTTCCGGAGACGAATTTGGGAGATGGCATGCTGGCCACTTGAGAGGGCAAAATACCAGTACAGAGCAGTTCAGTTCAGTGCCCTGAAGCGTGTGAAGACGTTCTTCAATCCCGAATTTGACTTAATTACGGAGATGCATCTCCACTGCATGCCTATACAGAACCCCAATATTTTCTCTGGATTTAACTGCCGACTGCGCACTCACTCACTTTCTCTCTTGCTCTCATGGAGTCAGTTCGACTGACACATCGGCCATGAAAATCAGCCGACCTGCAGTAGAGTGGATCAAACCACTTTTGACATTGAAACACGCTCGTCAGTAGCCCCAACGCACCGAAATTCCTCTCTCTCTTCTTAGCGTGGTCGTGTTCGAGGGGCACGAGCTCAGCTCAATCGCTGAGCTGCACAAGGAGCTGAAAGCCAGTGGCAGCAGCAGAAGGACTGCGAAGAAGTGCCACATCAGAAGCATGTGCAAGAGATAACTGTACGCGAGGCAGAGAGCTTACAGCCCCGTCTGCTATGCCGCCATCTCCGTGACGGTCATGTCAACGAGGCAATCATCAAAGGAATACGTGAAAGTCAAAACGAGGCGAGGGCCGGTAGCAGCCATCGAGTCTCGAATGAATTAGCACTCGATACGGAGAAGACAATCCTCTCTAGTGTGCAACGCAAATTTGACTCATATTATTTTCAGTCCACATGACTTCACGAACTCGGAAGTCATGGGGGCAATCAGCAATCCAT